CTTACAATTATAAATATCTAAAATATTGCGCCATATTTTTGTGGTTAATGCCTTTAGCATTATAGTTGCATGTATCATTATAGTTACATAAAGCAGAGCACTGAACACCTTAGCTTGGCTTAGGGATGATTACTAATTATGTGGCAAGAGTTTACATTGTGCATTTACGTCAGTGAACAGCCCTATATTATGGTGCTGATACAAGAGTACTCACAAGTTCAACTTCTTTTATGATGTAATCACTTACAGTAGTATACATGTACATTGTTTAAATATCAAAACACACAGGCACAACAAGGTTTAGAATAACATTGTAATGTGTATATTGCACATATTGAATACACTTATTTAAAAGAAAATAAAGAGCCTCGTTAGCATTCAACATTTCAATTAGCAAAACTGACGCTCTTGTTTGAAATAAATCTTTTTTTTTTGCCCAGCAATGAACAAAAATTACTAGCTTACTTGGAAATCCCAAACAGATAGATTGTATTCCCATAGTGCATAGTATTGTTTGGGAAAGAATGTAACCTAATAAACTGGCAGCACTACTTCATTACGACTACCGGTATTCACTTTGTGTGTTGATTACTAGTACTAAAACTGAAGCACAAAAACCAAAATTTTATGAATTAATTCAAAATTACTTGTAATTGAGATATTGATGGAAAGCTGCAAACTAATTATACAAATCATAAAATTAAAATGAACAGATTTAAGTGTAAAACTAATAAGGTAACAGACCATCTATGTACCAAGTTTCATTAAAATGTGATCAGAACCAAAAAATTATGAATTATTATGCTAATTAGGGAATTAATATGAACAGATTTCAACCCAAAACTGATTATATTTGTACATTGTCCTAGAGCATCTATGTACAAAGTTTCAATGAAATGTGATGATTAGTACTTGAGTATCAGTGGAAAAGCCAAAAATTTACTAATCATTATGCAAAAATCGTCTGATATCATCAGAAAACGAGGGATTTGTGCAGTTTTGAATAAAACCAAGTTAGCGATTATGAACAATGGTTATTAACGTAACACCTGATCCCCTCTAAAATTTTTGTTTTGCATTTTAAGGTAAGAAATCGACATTTGAAACCGACAGGGTGTCGATTTACTCGGTGCCGTGTTTCACAACTTGTTTATTTATATACGTATAGCGGATGATTTTTTATTGAAAATTAGTATTTATTGATGTTCAGCCCCCAAGTGACTGTGTCCGTGTAGTAGTAATATGGCCAAAAATAAATACAGCCGTTATTCGACCATCTTTGATCTGATTATGAAACACACTGATATGTATGATGCATGTGCCAAATGCGAATGAAAATGGTACATAAATTGTGGAAATATAGTAGTAAGGCCAAAAAGTCAGATGGCTGTCAATCGGCCATCCTTGACCAGATTTTTAAACAAATTGTCATGGACATGCATCCTAACATGTATACATGTAGTATGTGCAAAATTTGAATGAAAACTGACAGAGCACGTCCAAGATACCACATAAAAAAACCAAAACAAGATGCCTGCCAGTTGACCATCTTTAATCCAATTGTGAAATACATCGTCATGGACATGTATCCTAACATGTATAATCTATGTACCACGTTTGACTGACAACTGACAAAGCATGTCCAAAATACAACATTTTCAAAAAAACAAGATGGCTGCCAGTCGGCCATTTTGAATCGAATCGCTAAACCACTGCATGTGCACATGTCCCACATAAGGTACTAGGCATATGCAAAGAATGAACAGAATCGGTCAACAGGATTCTGAAATATGACTCTGGCCAGACTGACGCATAGATGGACGGACACACGGACGGACGGACGGACAGACTCAGGAACTCACGGACGGTCGGGGACATGTATCCTAACACGTATGATCTATGTACCAAGTTTGAATGAAAACTGACAAAGCATGTCCAAAATACAACATTTTCAAGAAACAAGATGGCTGCCAGTCGGCCATTTTGAATCGAATTGCTAAACCACTGCATGTGCATATGTCCCACATAAAGTACTAGGTACATGCGAAGAATGAACAGAATCGGTCCAAGGGATTCTGAGATACGACTCCGGACGGACGGACGAACGGACGGAAACCAAATCACAAGTCCCCGTTTTCGAATTTCAAGTTTCAGGTCACAATATGTGAAGCAAAAAGCATTCTGGTCAATTTTAAACCAGGTCAATTTCTGTCAGTACACTCAGATTAATTAATTAATATTTGTTTCAGAAGAACGCTTTTGGAATAATACAAACTGTTAGGATATGTAAAACTATACATTAAATAAACAGTTTGTTTACTATAAACAAAACTGTGGCACATAGTTGGGTTACACACTATGAATCAAATTTATCTTTCCAGGATAGCACTTTTCCCTAGCCCATACCAATCTGATGCAAGTAGAAGGCTATGGTTAGTTTTGATAAACAGTTACTGGTTTATGGAGATTGGTGTACTTGCCTCTACAACTGACCTACTACCTAATGTAAATTATGTTGATGTCTAGTAGTATCATCCGCCAATCAGTTCTTAACCTTACCTGATTACAGGTGCGGGCCAGAGAGACAGTCCTGAGGTAAGGCATAGATTGCAAACATCTTTGCTGGCAGCATGAAAACATATTTGTATTCCAAATGAAGGTTCTGCTATAGAGAGTAACACCTATGGTTTGGGTGATTTAAGTTTGAATAGCTCAACAAAATTTACTTTAACAATAATCCCAATTGTTAAGATATGGATAAATACCATCAAGTATGTAAGCTGACAAATCAATGCACTAGACAGTGTTATTATATTAAGTACACATTTTAATTTACTGACAAAATTCATTCATGCCATTTATTGTTTACAAAGTAGCTAAACAAGGTGGTCACTATTGCCCAGCAAAAACAATATTACAGTATCAGCCACCATGGATAATTTTTTTTTTTACTTTAATGACATAATTAAACCAAATAAAACAAAATTCAGTAAACCTTCCCATAGTCTAGACTCTATCAACCCATATTTTGGATGAAATCAAAAATTTTTATTTAATGCAATGAGCGCAACAATATTTATTTCTATGCACATTCGTTATGGTCATTCCAACAATGTTGTAATTTTTTATTTTATTTAGTTCCTCCTATGTCACTAGCATGTTAGCAGAAGCCTGTCACATCGGTGTAAAAGTAAAAGTAAAATGTAATCACATATTCAGAGTTAGACAATTCAACTGAGTGTATTTATCTATAACGCTTTTTTTCAGGTGAACCTTTATTTTTGCCAGAATTGTGTCTATTTCCACTATTTGACTTATCTCTTTCCCAAGTTCTATCATATTCTCTGTGACTCTCATAACTCCTTCTGTCTCTGTTTGCATATTTCTGCTCAGCTTCTCTGGCATCATTGCTTGGAGCAGAATTTCCACTGTCTGACCCTTCACTCTCATATTGCTGAATTACTTCCATCCATAAAGTATTAAATGATTGCCCCATCTTAGAACTTTCTTTATCTTTCCTTTCAGATTCACGCTTTGGTTCATCCTTCACAGATATGTCATATCCCTCTCCTCGTTTCAATTTCTTGTTTTCAGGTGAGCTCTGAGGAAAGCTATTACATTTCCTATCATCTCTGTTGACCTTTTGATTTTCATATTTCCCAACATTCCTTTCTCTTGCATCATCAGTGTCATCTATCTTTCTCTTTCTGTCCTTATTCCAGTTACTACGACATGCATCCTTTTCTTTACATTCCTGATTCCAGTTTTCATGTCTCCTGCTTTTGTAACTTTCACTTGTTTCTCTCTTGTAATATTTATGACCTTTTTCCAAATTTGAGTGTTTTTCTCCAAAATGCCTTTGCCTCACAGGATTTGTATTCCTGTTAACCTGATATGCCTTAGGTAACATGTCATCCAGATCATCATCTTCAAGTTTGGAAACAGTTCTTGTATATTCTTTACTACTTATCCTTTCTTTCTTTGTCTCATTTTCCTTCACATAACCCCTAGGAGCTTTGGGCGTTTGTTCACAACATTCCCTTTCATATCTAGATCTCACTTCTTTCCCTAGTTTTGCATGTTTATCTTCATGCACATCTTTGGATAGGTCCTTAGTATCTTCCCATCTACTTTTAACAGCAGGTATTTCCACTAATCTGGTTGATTGAATAACTGCCTTATTATAAACGCCAGCATTATCACGTCCTTTAGTTCCAAAATGGGTGTCAGATGGAGAAGTCTTCTCTAACAATGATTTTTTTTTTGATGACGATGATGCTTTATAATCTGGATATAATCTTTGTTTTTCTGTATTCTTATGGATCTTGACATGTTCTTCTAAAGAAGATGTTGATGATCTTTTTCTATTGTTATACTCAGCTGATGAAGACCTGTTCCTTCTCAGGTCTCTTGATTCACTTGAAAATGAGGAAGATCTGCTTAACTTATGACCTCTGGTTGATTGAGCCTTAGATCCTGATTCTCTGTAGTCTTCCTCTGATGAATAATCAGTAGATGAATGTGGTTTATTTTTTGTAGGACTACGATCTTCAACTTCACACCAGTCTGCTTTGTGGCTGCTTCTGTCTGAAAAAATATCTGAAGATGAATATCTATTGTCTTTTCGAGTAAATGCTTCCCCGACACAACCCAATGGATGCCTGCTTCTCTTCCCTTTAGAATGTAAATTTGTTCCTTCACTTTCTCTATCATATGATGCATTCTTCACCACTTCCACTTTTCTATCATAACTTCTGCCTGTTTTGGATGAACTTTGTACAGCACATAATACTTCTGAAAATCCAACACTATCAGATGAATCTCTGTACCTGCCACTTAGTAAGAGATCCAAAGGCTGACCCGTTCCCTGGCTGTCTCTTCTGGGTCTCTTAATCAGCCCATCACTTTTAGAATGATCGTCAGACTTTTCTGATCTGTGACTGTCTCTCCTTGCTCTTCTAGATGTAGATCTACTTTCCATGTATTTATCCTTTACTTTTAATAGAGCATAAGTTCTTTCACTTGCTTTCACAGTATCTTTGACTAAAGAAGGTGTGCACACGTCATGTGAAATTTGTTTCTCTTTGCTGAATCCATGATCACTTATTGTTCTCTTAAATCTTCTTGGTAATTCAGGACTATAACCACCAAATGATTTCCGTCTACTTTCTTCAACTTTTGTTGAATTACAACTCGATGAATCCAAACTTCTATGTTCATGGCCTCTTTCATGTCCTGAAACACTGGATTTTTCAGAGTTTCTTCTCTCTCTGCCTTCATTAATAACCATCACATCAGATTCTTTTGAATGTGACCGACTTTTCCTTTTCCCTCTTTTCTCCATAGATCTATGTCTACTATCAGAAAATCTATGCATGTCAATGTTCTCCTCTACTACAACCATTTCGTCAGATTCATCGGAGGAAAACTTTCTACTATGCCTTCTTTTTCTTGATTCTCCTTTTTGTTTCATCTTTTCCTCTTTCTTTTTCTTTGATCTGAAGATAATACAAAGCATCTTTAAACACATACACTAAATTATTAATTAGTGTACTCCCTGATGAGATGATACAAACATATTTCTATAAATAACAATTTTCTATTACATCAGACAGAAAAAAAAATAAAAATCTTAGTAATTAGATGGTGGAGGTCACAAAGACACCGATGGGTTCACTGTGTTCAATATTGTCAAAATGTGAACCAGATGTCTTGCTATTGTTTGACGAGTGGAAAAAAAAAAGGCTAAGCCTTACACTCAAAATGAGTTATGGTATTTGTAACTTAATCACCTAATGAATTGTACACTGAATGTTTTGAATCAAAATACGTACTTGTCTTTTTTCCTTTTCTTCCTTTCTTTTCTCTTCACTTTCTCGGCTATGAGAAGCTTCTTGAGTGTGTCTCTAGACATTTCCATTAATGACTTCTTTTCAGGAGGATTTTTATTTTGACTTTCTTGTTTCTCTAATAATTGTTGCTGTCAAACATTTGAAAGGATCACACCAAAAAATGATATAAAAAGTGAAGAGGAAAACAGAAACCCACAATAATGAAAATAATAGTCAACAGAAGTAGAGCAATAAAGAATGGTTAGATACATTTTTACCATACAAGTGAAAATGTTTAGTTAAGTAAATGTATTAAGTAGAAATATGCATTTATTGAACAGCAATGGTGAATTTCAATGGTGAATTTCAATGGGATAGAATAGAATAGAATAGAATAGAATAGAATAGAATAGAATAGAATAGAATAGAATAGAATAGAATAGAATAGAAT